TCCACCGGTAGTTTTCAGCACATTTAGTGGGTAGGTGGGTCAACTGGGTTAAGCGATTCTCTACGGGGGGTGCTCCCCGGTGCGTGTGGCACGGCATCGTTATCAGCACACCGGTAGCCCCCGCTGTGTTCGAGCCGTCCTCGAGTTGCTGTCAGAGACATGCTCGCTCGCTGTTTCGCTGATCGTCTTGAGTTCGCAGAATATGCCATCGCCACCTCGTGGAGTTCCCCTATACTCGAAGTGGCTATCGCAGTGGACTATGCATCTCGAGGTCGCCCCTTTTTCCCCCTAATGGGCTTTGTATATAGAGTCCGCGATAATTTGTATACATTTTGAAAGCCGTAAGTTGGGTCCTGGAAAACTTCACTATTAATACGATGTTAGATTTGATATTGTTAATTCCTTATTATTTAAGTTTTTACCAAGAGCATAATATTATTAAAAACATTTTTAATTATAGCATAATTATAAAATTTGCTTTCCAAAAAAGATGATTGTACCTATATTTGAAAAATGGGATTAACGTGTTATACTAACATTTTTTCTGGGATCCAATTTTCCAATCCCGTCCTCTACACTGATGTCCCACTGTCATTTAACCCAAACTACAGATATTGACCACTCCTGAACACGTTTTTATAAACCTATAATGATTTTGTTGATACATTGGGACTGCATGGAAAGATTATTGTACACACCTGTGTCCTATATATGATTCTCAGATACGTTTGGCGTATTTTTTTGGTTTGAGACTCACTTGGACGCCAATGCGTAATATTAATGTCACATTTTTTGCATGTATCATGTGCACTTGGTCATCGGGGCAATTCTTATAACTTTTCACCTTATTACTTAAATACTGTATTACTCTATCACTTAATTGTTTATTTCCTTAATATAAACTACCAGAATGTCCATCAACTAGTAGTAACCCATTGTTAAACAACATCAACATAGTGAACTTAGCGTTTGCCAAAGATGTACAAGTCAAAAAGGAGTCCAGTTTCAATCCACCACCTTTGCCTTCGTTAAATTTAAATAGGGTATGTTATCAATTACCCCTGTCTACATAATAATCAATAACACATGTCTAAAAATTTGCCCATTACAGTTAAATAATAGGATAAAAACTCAAATACAAGATAAGAAACGTCAAATATCAGCTATGTCTGCCAATGTTTCTCCTGAGGCACAAAAATTGTATTTGACTATAACTAAAACGTAAACTTTTGACAATACTTTATTAAACTATTTGAAGATGAATAAATAAATAATATTTGTCTATTTGATACTTAGGATTCCAGAAGTAACTTGGCAAGGGCAGAATATTGTCGTATATGATCATGTGATAATTAGCCCACCATACAAGGCTGATAATGTCAAAGGCACTGGAAACCAAGAGGATAAAGCTATTTTGTACATAAAGAATATTGTAAGTAAACTTAATGTCTTTTTTTAATCTTTAGTTAACATTGTATAGTTGTTTAGTTAAAATATCTTGTACTCGTAATTTAGTTGTATTAAAGTCAATGATATTATGTTTTTGTGTTTGTTTACAATTTCTTTTTGATCATGAATAAAAAATAAATGTAATAATTGGATATTTATACAACAAATGTGCTTTGTCACATATATGAAATGCCTCAAGCAGCAACAGATTTTTATCTTGTTCACTCAGATCACACCCGCTTGATAAATTAATGATTTTTATTCATTTTGATTGTCAGATTTTGTTTATGATAATAGGCTATGTCCTTACATTTTGCTCCACAGTCTTAACTTTAGTAAAATGTAAACTAGGTGGTTGTTCAAATAATAAATTTATATTTGTGAGAGTGACCTACTGCTCACGTTTATCACGTCCCAAAGTTACTCTCAATGAGCCAAAGTATAATAACCAATTTTAAACTTTTTATTTCATTAAGTGGATAGATTTGCTACTAAATATGATGATTTATATGTTAAATTTAAATTATGGCTACCATTTTATAATTTTTTAACTATGATTCAATTAAAATAATTTATTTGGTGATAATTGAAAATGTTTTAGGTGGAAAAATTTGTAAAAGACACAGCTTCTCAACAAGTTTCATCCACACCAACAACCCATCGGAGCAAACCAGCTGCTGCTACTGCTGCAGCTCCACAGCCACAATAAAGTTATGCTGTGATCAAGGGAGTTGAAATAAAATTATTATAATTTATTAAGTCAAGTATAACAAAAGAGAAGAACCCAAGTAGATATATTATTTATTATACATTTATCAGCAATATTCGTTTAATTTCTATTGTGGATTTATATAACTTTTTTTTTCTGTCTAAAATATAAATCAATATTTGATTTCTAATTAACTGAACTCTTGGATTCTGAAAACTCTTACAACTTGAAAATACATTATTCTTTTTTATTTTATATTTTTTTATTGAAAAGTTATTATTTCATGCGTATAAAATACGTTTTTGACTTTAAAAATAAAAGAATTGAGTCACCTATATTATTTGAAAAATTTATTTAGCAACGTATTGTTGATAATTAGGCGAATGATCAGTAACTCAAAATCTTCAATCCAAATATATGCTATATTCATGTTGTTTTTCACCATACAAAGTCAACACATTATACACAACAATAAAAATTTATAAAACCTATTATCATTGATTATTGAATAAATTATTCTATAATCAATGCTATTACTGACGTTAAAGAACAAGTTATATAGTTACATAGTTTGTCTCTCCACAAACTTTTCATAAACTATTTTGACATTTTATGCGATAAATTGTTAAGTTTATAGAGATATTAGATTTTCAAACTGGTTTATATACTAACCTAATCCTATGTTATGATCTTATATTCATTTTATCAAAATTGTATGTTGAATGGGTAAAGGTGTGTTAACATTTATTATATTACTGGGGTATGTATTGGCGTATTGCTAACAAATCACAATTTACCTATTTTAATTTTACACATGTTATATAAAAGCATTTTTGCAAATCAACATAAAACTAATTAATGGATATGCATGATTTTATGTCTTTTATTTTAAATTTTAGGTTATTAGCATGGTTTGATATCATATAGTCTATAGATAAAATATTAGTTTAAATTCCCCAATTATAATCATCATTACATCTGTACATGGTCATTATAAGTGTCATAGCAATCATTGAAAATAGGGTTTTTCCTGGACCTTTAATTTTAGATGGCCAATTTTTAGAACTTAAAAATTTAGCAAGCCAGAGCTTAAAAAAAAGGTCATTCAAAATAACTATTAATAACCAGCATTTATTTTTTATAATTTTTACAATCCTGTATTATGAGCATTTTGAGCTATGGTATGTAGCTGCAAACGATAACGCAAGAAAAATAAACTTCTATTTCTGAAGTAAGTATATTTCTTGTATCTGTAACACATTTCATTTCTTTTGATTTGATATGCTTCATGTAAGAAAACATACAGTAAGCCATTCCAAACATAGTTAACATTTTCAATGCAAAATCTTGTAAGTCGATATTTTTCAAAAGGTAATGTTTTCCAAAACAATAAATCAATCTCTTTTGTTGATAAAAATGGATCTGTTTGCCATCCACATAATTCTAATTGAAGTGAAGCATCTTGCTTTTCAATTTACAGTGCCATAGAATTATCAAACAAATTTATTTGGGGAAGCAGAAGTTCAACTTCTTGAAATCGTCTTTTGAATTCTAAAATTAACTTATCTAAGTGGATAATGCAATGTTCAAAATTAAACTCATTATCTAATCCAATTCTATTTTTATAATTTTACAACACAGAAAATGTATTTATTTATGTCGTGCAACATGGATGGGCAACTTGTGTCCTGTGTATTTATGTACTTTATATATTTACCTATTTAACCAGCCAAACTGTTTGAAATTGATATTTTTATAATAATTATCTAAATGAAGAAATTTTAAAAATAACTTTCTATCGGCAGAATTTATTTTGAAGTAGATTAGTAAGTTAAAGTTGCCCATCCCGATACAAAGGAAAAGTTCCTGGAATGTTGGGGCAATGTATTATGAATCATAATTTATGATGGAATCTAAGACATACATATAAAATTTTATATTTTGTGTTCAAGAGGTGGTAATATTATTAATACACTTTTAATTCTAATGTCATAGACATATAGAAAATTATTTTTACCATAGGAACATTTATGAAGGTTTGATGCAAACATTTTGTTGGTCAAAATTCTTAAGCACTAGTAATATTATATAAAAGTTAAAAAAAAACAATTAAACTTACAGTTATCGACATGTATAGAAAATGAGTTAGGAAAATCTTATTTCAGAAAAAAAAACAACTTTTTGCCTTAAATCTTCTTAAATTTATTCAAATAAATTTGTGTAAAATTAGGTCAAATACACAAGCATAATATATAAAGGTACTTTAAGTACTATGACTATTAGTTAATTATTGGTTGTAAATAAATTCAAACGCAGTCTCAATAATAAATGTTCTAATCGAACCCTTTACCTGTGTAGTGTTGGCATGTTACCAGGGCTTTAGAAACAGCGGGTCGGGGGTTGGGGTTCAAACCCCCTTACACGTGGAAAGTATATATATGTATTAATAAATATTTAGAATTGAAACTACTAAAATATTTTTTTTTCACTATAATTAACGCTCCCCCTCACAATATTAAATTCCAGTACACACACTATTTGTTGTATACAGTGAACAAAAAATAATAAATACTGATTAATAATTTATTGCTTATGAAGTGTTCTGATGATACTTGATGAGTTTCTCAACAAAATAAAGATAATATTTATTTAATTCAAGGTATTTTATATCGTATTTGGTATTTTGGTGTAGAGTGTTTAGCGTATCTATTCCGGATGGTTTATTTTCTATGCTTAAAATAGGGAAATAAAGCTTAAAGGATAAAAAAAAAACAACTAAATATGATAATAATAATTACTAATTTAAGTTATTTAGTGGTTTTTTTGAAAATAGTAATACATATTTTATTGGTTTCATCACTACATTTTTAATTTATTATTCAAATACTTTTAAAGCTTACAGTTGTACATTCAATAGATTTAAGATACTTTCTTAGGTAGTTAACAGTGTTATTGCATTTTCTAACTCTAAAGATATGTTATGATTTCCTGAAATTAACCTAACCTAACAACCAAACAAATTGTATCTAATAGGCATCCAGTAGCGCCACTCACCTAATTTATCTAGAACATGTCATTAGATTACTTAGATTGGGGGAGGGAGGTTTTAAATCAATACATTCATAAAATCTTTGAGGATCATAAATTATAAAAGTGTGCGCTTTGATTTGCATTCAATTGTTAAATTTAAAAAAAGGGGAGGATGGTGAGGGGGCCCCTTAATGTGCGATGCAATAGTATATAATTAAATACTTGGCGCCACTGGAGGTATCTAATAATATACTGTAGAAAATAGTTGAGTTTTTTCTTAGTTATTAATCATAATAACATAATATACGTCTAAAACATATCAAAATTAAACTAATCATAAATCAACAAATAACAACACCAAACAACAGATTTATAAAAATGGTAACCAATTGATCATATTAACATTAATTATATTAGGATTATACTTTTGAGCGATTATTTTTCCAATAGTCAATCGATTGCATTTCTATGAGCCTTGATATTGTTCTATCAAATGCAAACATTTCTTCATCCCCAGTAAAGACGTTGGCTTTAGCATTGACCTAAAAAAGGTCAATACATTAAAACATTGTTTTTAGAAAATAATATAATGTCAAATAATTATAATTTGTTATTACTGTTATTACTGGTTATAATATTAAAATACAATATGAAGATATTGGAATTAAAAAAGAAAAACCTAAACTAAATCATGTTTCCAATTTTCAAATTTAGTTTTACACTTAACATTTTCAGTTTTAAATATTTTATCAATACATATTTTGCATTTTTATATTTACATATCCAAAACATTATACTGAAAATAATCATGATTAATTATTCTATTACTGTTCGTTAAATATATTCTATTTGTCTTAAATTTGCATTTGAGAATGTCGTAATATATCAGATAGGTAAATAACTTTTGATATTAGTTAGCAATACTAGCACTCAAACGACCTCAAAGTCTTCATTTGTTTGTTAGGAAATATTTCTTGTATTTTTTTTTATTATTTAAACAATTTACAATTTATACAGTTATTAGTATAAATAATATAATAAGTAATTTTTATCATTAAATCACCAATATTGGAAAATTAAAGGTTAGCATTTATGGGCAGGTGCTCAGCAGTACCACCAGACCTGGTACTTTTTAAGTACCCATTATTATTATTTTTTTTTTTCATCTTAGTTGGTCTTTAAGGTACTGGTCTTCTTTCAATACATGACCGGAAAGTGAGATGGAAAACAGATGTTTGATTGGGTTACTGTAAGAGTTTAAGTTAGTACTAAATTTAAAGTAATATAATTAGGCTGGTGATTAAATTAATAGATTGAAACACCTTATTTTAATACATAAAAATGTGTGCCTACTTAATACTGTATTGTATGTTATTAAGAGGGTATCAACTTTGTAACATTGTGCCATTAGGTTAGGTTATCTACTGCTGTTTGGAGGCTATTTAAAAGTAAGTAAAAACTAAAAGAATATGTAAGTACACCAAAATTTAATTTTGCGACTGAACTGTTTGTGCTTAAGTGGTTGTTATACGTCTATTTGAAATGCTAATAAAGTAATAACATACTTCAAAATTAAAATAATAATGAAAGGCAACTTAACTGGGGCCAAAGATAATATTTAAAGATCATCTTCTGTATATAAAATGATGGAGCAAGGGCAGATCCAAAGTGGGGGGGGGGACTAAAGGCAAGTTCCTCTCGTACACGAAAAAATATATATAATTTTTCATTATTAAAAATCAGCATCGTAAAAATGTTTTTAATTTAAATGCCCTCTGTACAAAGATTCTAGACCTGTCCTTGAGATGGAGACAACACATTCTCGGGTATAACATACTTTTTAGGCTAATATAGAACATAAATTAACATTCAACCGCGGTACACTAATTCATAGTTTTAAACTGTATTTCATAATACTATGTCTTTTTTAAAATCATATTTGTAAGAATAATAATAATAAACAGCTATCAAAGAAATTTTCAATTCAGTAAGCAATTTCTTGAGTTATTTATGTAAAAACTAGTTGAAATAGTAGCTTCTATCTATGGTGTTTACTATTTTTAATATATTAGAAACTGAAAAGACGTTATAATACTTTACCGAATCAGGTTGCAAATCTAAATCGTCCATTAGAACTTTCTGATCATCATCTAATCCACCTGTTTTTTTAGCTACAAATAATTCTTTTACTGGTTTATCTGCGTATATTAGAACACATATCTAAAAAAATATTTTATATTACTAATACTTAATCAATACATTAAATCTATAAGATTACCTTATGATCATAAAGTGTATCAATCAAAGTAATAAAACGTCTCAATGGCGATAGTGAATCCAAATCAAGTTGAGGAACATCTCTAATAGCTATTGTGTGAAACATTTGAGCTAAATATAAGTAATCTACAGCTCCGAGAGGCTGAAACATTTTTATTGTTAATTTATAAAGTTTATTAAGTGAAATAAAATATTACCCGATCACATAGTTCTTCAAAAGAAGCATCCAAGATTTGTCCACACACTCTTTGGAATGTAAGATTCCTTTGCATAATAATTAATGTTCTTGGCCTAACAGTATCATTTTCACTATTTGTAAATCTTTTAATGGAGTTTTCAAAATCTTTTAAGGTATCAACATTACGTCTATGGAAAAATTCACACAATACATTTATAATTAAGTATCATAAAGCTACAATGTTTGTCAGGTGTTTTTTTTTCAATACAAATTGGAATGCTATAAGCTGAGGTACTTTAACACTGTCAATACTATATTACAGTTAATATTATGTTAGCATTATATAACACAAAATTGAAAATATAAGATACTTCAGGTGGTTATCAAATATGTTTATGTTATTAACGACTGTTAAAATCATTTTATCTCTATTATGCAATACTATTTTATTTGGTGAATAACAAGAAAATGTCGAACACAGTAATAGGGTGATAGTACCACGAGTTACTGTTTTTATAATAATAACATATTTATAATCTGTACAGTACACTTACATAAAATATGATTTGTATCCACTTTTTGATCTTATAACTCTATAATCAATACCAGAATCCAAATTGACGACTATAGAATGTTGCTTTAACACTGGTATAAATGGTAAAAACAAAAATCTTTGTAGTCCATTTTTATATAGATCATCCGGTTTACGATTGCTGGTCGCTACCATAACCATACCTTTATCAAAAAGCTCAGTGAAAAGTCGTTTCAATATCATTGCATTTGCTATGTCAGTCACCTAGCAAGAGTTCATGATAGTCCTACAATTAAAAATGTAATATCTATCTACAATAGAAAAATAAAATATTTTTTAAAAATTACCTGAAATTCATCAAAACAGAGTAACCATGATTGTTCTAATATTGTATCAGCAACCATAGGGATAGCATCAAAATTGTCTTTAGTGCTCAATCTTAAATTATGTACTCTATTATGAATATCCAACATGAACTCATCAAAATGGACTCTTCGTTTTTTTTCCACCTATAAAATTGGAAAATGTGAAAATAATAAAAATATGAATATTGGGCAATTATTAATAACTGTGTTGAGTAGTAATCTTGTACACTAATTTTGAAAGTTTGTGCACTATTTTTCCATTAGTTATTTTTGGTATAAGTAATTGAAGATAATATTTAACCATTAAATCTATATAAATAAATTAGTACCAATTAATAGTAACAAAATATAATAATTACTTCGCAGCAAGAAAAAAATAAATCCATTAACATGGTTTTACCACATCCAACTGATCCATGCATGTAAACACCATTTAAAGGCACTTTCAGTCCACCAAACAATTTTGAAATAACATTTTGTGATGGTGGCGAATAACTTTTTAATGATTTGTACACTTCATCTAGCTGTTTGACGATCTGACGTTGGTGATCATCATTGATCAATTGACCATCACTCACCCGTTGATCATAGAGTTCAGATGGTTTCATTTGCATACGAATGCTAGTGTAGATCATACGAATTTGGATATTTAGTCGTGGGATTTTCATGATGAGAGATTACAATTTGTAAGTAAGTATTACGACTGGTTCTGTTCTGCAAATAAAATTATTTTAATGCTAATAATTACTAAATGCTTAATATTGACACATCCCAAAAACATTATTATACCAACTATAATGTATTACAAAATTTAGTATTTTCTAAGATAACAAAATTATTAGTCTCAATTATTTTAAGTTATTGGCGTAAAGCCACAGAATCTAATGTTTTACCTTTACAACTTAGCGATGATGTGCGTATTGTATAATGTGTATGTACTCACTATTTAGTACTTTGGCATTCAGCTATTTTCAGCTTAATATTTATGGTGTTTTATAATCACTTATTATTATCACTACTAATCACTAAATACGGAAGCGCTGAAGGGCCAACCATAATATCTTTTTTTTATCTCATACCTATGGATTTCGGCATGCGCGTCACTACAACGAAGATCAATGTTACCTCTTACCTTCACTGTTTATTGCCCTATATTATATTATTATCCTTTTCGCTTACGAAACTCGTAAATAAGATATTTAAATTAAAATTTTTCTATTTTTATTATCGTTTTCTTGATGGTGAACAAGTTGTTTCTACTGAAGTAAAATGTATGATCGTAGCAATATCCAATTGAATTTTTTTTTAATTTTGTAAAAATGTTGATATTGAAGATTTTTGGTTTTTAAAAAAATAAATGAGACTAATAACTTATTCCCATGTTTTGTTACCTACCGTTTTGTACTTTTGTCTATGAGTAATCAATGAATTTATAGGTCTTGAGTCTTGACTCTTGAGTATACCTATGATTAGGTGGAATGTAATGCCCTAAAAATCCAGAGATATTATCAAATTCAAAATAATACAACTATTAAACTCACTTAATTTTTTTTATTTTAAATAAGTGTTGAACCAAAAAAAGTATCACAGGACTTCACAACATTAGTCATCAAGTCTTTAACGAGGATTTTTAATCTGAAAAAATAATTATTCTAGTTTATTTTCCGTCGCTCGCACTCTCACAAAAATTAAGATTAGGTACGATATATTATTCGATTAGGTAAAAACAATGTTGAGGCAAGTTTCAAAGTCACTGTTTGAAGTAAAAATCATAAAATAAAATTTAAAAAAACGCGCTTTAGTGTAAATGCCTTCAAAATCATAAATTTAATTGAAAATTGTTAAAAAAATAAAATAAAAAATGTCTTATTCTTGGTTAAAAAACACGAAACGTCAAACTTGTATGTTATAGAACAAGTATTATGTAATTTTAGAAAACAATATGCAAAGTATATTCCTACTTATGAATTAAGATGAGTACCTATAATATATTTAATACTATTGTGTAAGTTAGTCAGCATATGGGCGATACCAATGTTATAAGTTAATAAATATTAATACCCTTATACCTAATAAATAAGTTAATTTAGTTAACATTTAATACATAAATAGGTACTTTAAATTTCTATACAATTTGAAGTTAGTATGGATACTATTACCTACTATCTTAACTCAGTTAAATAAAGTTAACTTTTTTTTAATTATCACCTAGCGTTCTTGGGTCCAGATACGTGTTTAACGGAGGGCATCATAGGGGCATTTACCCCCGGTGTCAAAATTTTAAAACATTTTATAGGCTGCATTAATATACCTAGATTATAGATTTGTATAACATTTTTAAGTTTTATTGTACTAAATTAATTTTTCCATCAGTGATTTGAAATTTTATAAATGTTAAAATGTTTTAGTATTATTTAAAATATTATACGTACCTATATAGGTATTTTTAATAGTAATAAAACTTATGCCTTATGGCTCCAGAGATCTAATTATCTAATTAAGCTAAATTCGAATAAATACATCGCGTCAATGCAGTTGAGACTCGATAGACGATCATATTATAAATTGTAATTATAATACATATCAACTATCAACACTGTCCAACAATAATTAACTATAAAAAGTAATATTTTACATACTATTTTTGCTATATTTTTTTTTAGTAATTATGGGTATTGTTTCGAGAGGAGTAGCTAAAATATAGCCGAAGAGGTATATTTTCCCATTCTCTGAACAAATAATTAAATAAAGTTGAGTAGGTATATTATTGATATAGTGGTGCGATGTCATGGTATACTTTTAATCGATTTTACTTTTTAATTATTGACATAAAAAAAATTACTTGCAATGACTTACATATAGGAGGTTAACTACATTATTTTTTTATGATTGTTATAACAATGTTATTCAAACCTGTGTAATTTCTAAATGTATTACTCATATATGTACTCATTAAAAAATTAAAACATTTATTAGAGGAAACAAACAATTACGTAATATTGAAAATGCATAATTATTTACCTTTTGTATGCTTAAGTGCATATTATAATATTATTTTTCAAAGATTTAACTGATTGTGGTACTGCATGAAAACAGTCGTTTACTTACTCGTATATGAAACAGGATGTGATGTGATGTTGTAATTGGTAATGTAGTTATGCTTTAGACGTAATGAATAATTATTGCGATATAACTTACAAAAAGAATTTGGTGATTACTGAGATTTTGGAAACCGAAGAATCATACGTAAATCATTTGAAAGAAATAGTAGTGGTAAGTTTAATATTAATATTATATACATATTTAAAATATTACTCTTCTATATTAAATATTTGAATACAAAATTATGTTATAAAAAGTACAAACATTTTTAGCATATTATATAATACTGAATATTACTCATTATACCTAAATAGGCTAAATATTCAAAACATTTATTGATGTATGTCTATAGACTATACTTTTATCATAAGCACTGTGCAGTGGATACAGTTCTATACCTATTTGTCTTTATTTGTTGAAGAATAATTAGTATTAACTATTAACGCTGATAAAAAAGTATTATTGTTCTTAAAATTAGAGAAATGCAAATTTATATAAACCTATATTATACAGCTTGAAGTGGGTTGATGTGTATATCATTTCACATTTGCCATTTGTAAGCATTTAATTTACAGTTTTAGCGATAAAATCTAATTTTTTATCGTACCAACAAGTATAATAATAATGTTGATATACACCTATCAAATGTTCTAAATAATAAACTATATATTTATAGTTATTACCGACAGGATTCGGGATTTAATTTAAATAAAATGAAAAAATAAGCACTTAAACAAGTATTTGAAAACTTCATATTAAGCAATCAAATAAGAGGTTAAAAATAAAAACTCGGCAAAAAGAAAAATAAGCACTTCAAAATTTCATATTTATTTAACAACAAAAGCCGTAAATAATAATAACAGATAATATCATAGTAATATGACATAGATGCTCATAGCATTCTGCTAGATTGAATGTAAAGCCAAAAAATAAACAAATGCTTTAAGCTCCAAACCCTGGTTATTATAATAAACTATTATATATAGTTTGAATAAGTGTCGCAGTGGGTGGTAGAACTGTAGAGGTACCCCTGACATTTGTAATGTAATAATAGTCTGTTCATTTGAACTTTAAATTATTAATTATTGTAGGTAATATACTAATATGTATTAGCACTAAGCAGTATAACCATCTAGAAAAATATTTTTTTGTCTAAAATAAATATTTATATTTAACATGATATAATAGGAGTATTTGGAGTATTGGAAACATAAACAAATATTGTCAAAAGAACATTGCAATCAATTATTTGGAAATATCAAGGAAATTTATGAATTTTCGAGGTAGGTATCTCTTTATTTTTATTCTATAATATACGTTAAGTTTAGATGACATGAATATGAATATAAAAATGTTATTGATCTAGAGGAAATGCAAGCATCTTATGCTGCTATACCTTATTCTTAATACTTATATCGCGTTATATATACCCAACTATAGTTGGTTGGTCCAGGATTGTCAATTTTATTATTTGGTCATTTAGGTAATGTTTATAAAAAAAATATAAATGTACAAAAGCCATAGGTCATTTTATCAGCTATAGGAATTGCTAGATCAGCTATAAATGGCCCAGGTAGGGTCATAAACCTTTAACTACTAGACAAGAATTGTGTATAACAACAGCATTACGAGTGGCATAATAACATCTCACAGGGATGCACTAGGTTGTCTCTACTTAATATACAATAATTTAAGTATATATTAATCTTTCCCTATTACCTCGCACTTCTGTGCTAAACCAACCTGCGTACAAGTAATCGAGTAATCAAAAATTGCCTTCTATGTTGTTACTTTTTCTATACAGTAATATTGCTTGTCTATAGAAGACGGACTGCAGTAACATAAGCATGGTGATTTTTACATGTTATTGTTTATTTTATAGGATAGTTCTGGTCAATATCCACTATCAATGATAGAAGAGCGCTTTTATTAAATTAATATATATATTTTTTATTTTTTTTATTTCATAACTTCATAACAATAATGATAATACTAGTAGGTAATAGGTATACCGGGCCACATTGAAAAAATCGTAAGAGGCTTCAGTTAATAAGTATAGGTAATATGTTTATGAATATATTATATTAATGGAACGTCAAAAATGGTTAATAAAATTGATCTAATAAACATATATTATTCTAAACATAAATGTATTTATTAATTACAGAATATTTTTAAACGAATTAGGATTGGCAAATAATAACGTACCACAAATTGCTCACTGTTTTTTAAATAACCATCTTAGATTTATTATTTACTCCACATACTGCATCAATTTTCAAAAGTAAGTTACAATAGGTAAATATTATCTTGTTATAAAATAATAATCACTAAAAACGATAAAATATAAAGTAAATGTTCTTATTAATGTTTAGTTCTGATGCCATAATATCAGAAATAACTCAAAGTCAACTGCCAACCAACATCATACATCAAAGGCAAAATGAATTAGGACATCGTCTTCCACTTGGATCTTATTTGGTTTTGCCAGTACAGCGTATTTTAAGATACCATTTATTACTTAAGGTATTATGTTGATGTTGATGTATACAATATATTGGGTGCATTGTGGCATGTGCTTCTGTATATACAAAGTCTAGTAATGTGCAAATTAGCCTGCAGATAATTTGCGTTTTTCGTATTCATTTTGTACAGTCATTACATAATTTTGTTAAAAATAAGAGACAATATTTTTTTTATATTACATATTATGCTATAATAGGGTAGTTGTGAACTCAAAGACGAATCCAGGGGAGCCTTGCCCCCCCCTTCTAAGAAATACGAACGCCTACTAATAGATACTACCATTGTTTAGAATTTATAAATAGGTACTATAATTAATACTGTATTTATAAATTATAATCAATGTAGATATATTGTATTTGAATTATTAAAAAAATGTAGCCCCCCCCCAGATCTGTGCACTACATCCAAGCCTGGACTTGTGGTAATAATATAATACTATTCTAAATTTCTAAACTCTTATAGCAAATAAGGTCAATATAATTTAAAATCTATTAATTACAGAATGAAAATAAGAATTGTGTAAATGTAATTTATTTACAGATATAATTTTTATAATCACTCATATTTAACGATCAATATTTATTCTGTAAAATTGACCGATGTTCGGGTATTTTGTGACCATTATTGTTATATTAAATATTGATTGGACCTAATATATTATTGGGGTGAATTACATCATGAATTTACATCATTTGGGTGAGAGATTAACCAATCGTTTGAATGAACTGCAATTTAAAAATGATGTCAGTACACTATTTGCTTTTTCTAACCGACCCACGAGCAACATAGTAAATTTGAGTTTGAATAACCCATTATTGTTGTTATAGTTCTATAATGTTAGAGTGAATTTATTATTTACTTATTGTTATGTTTTAAGTTAATAACAATATCTGAACACGTAAATTCAGATTATTTTTTTAATCATACCAGTTTAAACTAAATTATGTCTAACAACAACAAACAATTAGGGAATAAGGGAATAATTATTAAGCAAAATCAGTTTTCTGCAAAATCAGTTTTGTTTTTGTGCTGCAGTCTGTAACTGAAGAATGAGTAACTATAGTGACTTGAAATGTTCACAACATATTCACATTGAAATTTACTAGTATGATATAATTTTCAAAATATTTAAGAATTGGTGCTTTTTATGGGTATGTTAAATTTTCCCCCTTTTTAGATTAATACAGTCATACAGGTATTATACAATTTTTGTAAACGTAATATCTTGAAAAATAAATATAATATAAGGTTCCTCATAAATTTCACATACCTGTCATACCCCATTTAATAAATATAATATATTCAAAGTCACAAAGTTTAGACTATAAATTCCTACAAGTCAAGAAAAATTTTGCATATGCGCTTTTGTAAGAAAAAATTCATAAAAATTTTAATTTTAACCTCTTATGTTTTAAAATTAAATACTCAGTCTCATTAACTTCAATAAAATGGTTTAGCTTAAAGTTGCATACATTTTTTACGAGTGACTGAAGTTTAGATTTTAACGATACTTGTTACTCAAACGTGTAATAATGATTTATTCTTTAATGATTTTTATTATTTTGAGATCCTTTAAAAAATATTGATCGTAGAAACTTGAAATATTATAGTTTTGCCTAAATTATCATTTAAAAAATATATTTTTCATTTTAAAGCGTCGATAGCAATGTTTTGGTTTAATCAAAAAATCGAACAAAATTAGTTTTTCTTATTGTAATTTAAAATTATATAGGTATGTTTTTTTGTCATTAGTTTCTAAAGTTCAAATATTGACAAAATTCGACATAGTGACGAACATTTTCAAAATTTTTTGTTGCTCAAAATTAATCAATTTTTCAATTTTCACAGGTACTTGCGATAAGGATTCGCAATTCAATATACAAAGTTCCTCATATTTTATTTTACTTAAACAAAGACAAATATTTTTTGTATAATTTTTATGGAAAAGATTGTACTGCTTTTTCTCGATCAACCAGTTTAACACACAATTTTTAAGTTAGTTAATAAGTATACTTAACCAACAAAATTATCAATTAACAATAATTGATTACAAACATTATCGAGGGGAGCAGGAAAACAACAGACCTATTTAGTAATAATTTTCGTCACCAAGTCAGGAAAATCATTTTACAATAGATTTCGCCAGTCAATTAAACTTAATTATTTTATTATTTATTAAAACAAAATTGTTTTTCTAATAACAATTTTTGAATGTTAAGTAAAAAACAAAATGAAAAAATCTGAAAATCTATGTTCAGGTAACCTTAACGTACAAAAATTCTCAAAGGATATACGGAACTACACAAAACAATTTAGAATTGTATTGTAGGTATATTAATCATTGTATTTATCTATAATATGCATTTATGTTCTTTGTTTTGCTTTAGACGTTTTAGTATTAGGTACATTATGTTCATTGTTTTCTCTAAATTTTAATATTGAAAAATGATTCCTCAATAATTGAAATAAAGCTGAGATTCCTGCAACTCAAATCACCGGGGTAGCTTATAAATTAAAAAAAAAACAAATAGCAATTATGTAATGAATAGTTTTTAGTTCCACTGTTTATTGAGTTAAAATTACGATTAATCAAGCTTTATATAAATTATTACCTACTCGAAATATTTCAATCATTGTTTACAGTTTTTTTTTTTTACAGAAATTGGCTGCATATACTTCATGTAACGAAACTGATCACTCTTTAGTCGTAAAAGCTTATGATAAAATGGCTCTTTTAGCTAAAATTATTAATGAAACGAAAAATAAATATGAAAAAGAAGTCCGTATTAAGGATATACGATTAATGATTCTACATTTGAAGGATAAAACAAATGTAATAACAGCCATCTGCACTCTGCAGCAGCAGCATAATAGATTGTCATTATATTCAAATAATAATTATTTATCCTTATAATAATTCGTGTTTCGTTAACCATAATAATACAAAATTATAATACGATTTAAATCAACTGTAAAAATGTATTGTTATCTACAGGTCGATCTATCCAACAATTGTTTTGAATTACATGCTGAAGGCGATTTAATGATAGCGGGAACGAAGAAGAAACTTCATGTGATTATATTGAACAATATGTTGTTGATTGTCAAAGAACAAAAATGCGGACTGTTGGAATACAAAGCTCATATATTGGTAAGTTTTTAACTCTTAGCAATGTCATTATATTAAAATTTTAATTTTTTTGATTTTAGAGTAAGAATCTCACCATTATTGAACATGTGAAAGGATATCCATTGGGTTTTCGTGTAGTATCCAATGCTGGATCTAAATATTCGTTTACATTGCAAGTAAATTTATTATCATATTAATCTGTGATAAATAAAATTAACTATTTAAAAGCTGATCAGGATTTAATTTGCAGTTGTTGTCTTAAGATTTGCTACGGGTATAATATATCTATAATAATGAATAAAAGTTATTACTTTTATTTTTGAAATAAATCTATTTAAAATCTTGAAAATAAATACTTAATAATTATATATAATATATTGTTTTACACTGCTTATATAGTTTGACATTTATATATTACAATGGAGTATTTTTTCCTAAACATTTTGAGGTTGAAAAAATATTTGAATGAACAAATTAATGAAATCTTCATTATTTGGACCACTATCGTCGGTTTCGTTGATAATAAAATATTATTTAAATACTCATGGAATTTTATAAATTTTAATATTAGTTATTACTTATTACTTATTGATTATTTCAGTATTATTATTATGTTATTTGATAAAAGTAAAAATGTGTATAAGTTAATATCATTTATTTGTTATTACTTGACCAATACATTTAGTTTCTTCTAATATTTTATAAATATGATTTTTGCAAATTATTTCTATTGGTATATTAAAGACGTTAATTAAAATACTGAGTATCTATAATTGATTTTTTGATTTATCCGAAGTTTAAAATGAAACAGTTGACAATATTTTGGAGTCAGTAAATTGAATTTTTAATTTTTACTAAAAAGTTTCTAAGGATTTGTATGGTTAATAGTTAGGTTTGTATGTAGTTGGGCATTAATGTTTACATTTTAAGTTTAATTATTAATTTCATTTTGGCATTGAACGGGAAGATGAGAATCATAAATTTATAAATATTTAGTAGGTAGGTGGGTGGGTGGGAATGTACGACGACACAACACGGTGAGACATAGTAGATAGTAATGGTATGCAGCCATGTAGGTAGGTACTATAATGTATGGAAGATAGATTTATAAAAAAAATATTGTTCACACCTTATGTACCTAGCGTTATTTTTTCTGTCTCCTCTTAACTTTTTTAAATAAATTAATGACCATAAGTACTACAAATACTGAAATACTAGGTCACTCAGTTTAATGACTCTCTTGTTTTGTTTAATTAAACGTATTATTATTTGAACAAGTTTAATGTTCTGGTAGATATTGTTAGATAAATTGAAACATTACATTTTTTGTCTTGGTTCTGTATTATCTAACATTTATCAATCTTACAAATATGAAGTTCTGATCAGCAATCATCAAACTTATTTAAGTATCAATGATAACATCATTATATACGTGTACTTATTGAAACGCATTACCTAATTACCTATTCCACAGGCGAACTCAGCGGAGGAGAAGAAGTTTTGGGTTAAAATGTTAAACGATATTAAAAAAGACACTTCAGGACTTTCAAGCAGTGGATTCGCTGAATTAATGGCCAAATATTTTTACAGACCTAGAAGTATTTAACTAATTAGCTTTACACAGGTATTACTGAAAACAGTTTTTATTTAATTATCAAGAGTTAGATACTTACTGCATAGGTACTTGTCATATTAAGGCATTTCAAATGTATGGGTAGAACTTATGATGCAAATATAAATAAATATAAGCGAAATTAAATAATTATTTACGGAAGAGTTAAATATTATTTAGAGCTTAATGAAATTTATACTGTTTAATATTATAACTTATAATTGTGTATATAATCTGATAATCAGTATATGACTGTTACAATACAAACATAGCTAAAAGGTTATTTTGTCATACCTATACACATATATTTTGAATAGCCTATGTTATAACTATAACTTACAATAATTCAAATTATGTACAATTATTGTTCCTTTAACTAACGATTATGCAATAAAAAATATTGTTTAGTTGTGTAAATATGTAATTGTGTTATTAATTAGTTATACAAATAAAAGTTTGGTAAGTATTTTTATAGTAAAAAGTTTGTACGAATTGTGTATACTTTTACCATGTAATAATATAATCAATCACTGGAATAATGATTTATAGCTCGTTCCTCGTACAGTCGTCCCTATAATGATAATTAATTGCTTTTATAGTTTTATGAGTAATACACTCAATAGTCAATACCATGGCATTGCATAATACGTCTTTAGTTTTTTACATCTCACGCTTAGTTATCCGTTTACGGACGAAGTTCGTAGTTAGAGCGAACCTCGGAAAATTTAAGTAGACCGAACAACTGGTTACAGAGCTTGAAAAAGAAGTATCGATGGCCAAGCAATAACGAGTGTTGTATACCAATCGGGACGTGATGGATTTACAGATACCAAACAATGAGTCATAATAATATGTGTATTGGTATAGACTATAGAGGTATACTATAATAGCGTATATATTATATGTGTGTAAGCGTGTTTGAGGAATCTCTGCGATTTCCTGTTGACTGCAACCGGTGTTGCTTTTGTCGTCGTCAGACTGTTGGCAATCGCAGTTGATACAGTATTGGTACTTTTACGATTGAAAATTAAGATATTTCCCAGCCGAATCCCACTCGAGATTGCCTCAGATCATCTCTATAGGATACTGCGGAACTGCAGCAGGCGGACGTGCACAAATTAAAACTCCCACCAAAAATATAATATATTAAATACATAAAACAAGAGCCGCCGGTCGTAATACTTATATGAGACGACTTATTTGCTAATATATAGAGAAATATACATCTATAACAAGGAATATATGGGGTGCACATTTGAAGATACTCCTAGCTAGTAACAGAGTGTTTGTTACAAGGAATAAAATGCAAATTCATCAAAATCCCATTGATAGTAATTCATCAATATCAATCACTGAAACAACTCTGCAAAGTTAACGTGTATAGCATGGGGGCTGGGCTCGGCGTACGAGCTTTTCGAAATACCTTCAGCATGTCAAAAAAGTCCTGTATCATCATAAATTCATAAGTATCGCTGTGACATCTTAGATCATATTGTATTTGATCTCGAAATCCGGTAGATTTAAATGCGTTTTTTTCACAATAGGTAATATTGTAATAGGAAGTTGCGATTTAATTGTATCATTGTCTGACACGTTAATGTTGAAAAAAAGGCATGACGATAACAATTACATTTATTCCAGATAATAGTATTGGGGATTTTTCAGACCTGCGTATCAGGACATAATAAAATGGTAATGCGCGTTAATATGCGATGGCGGTCTATTACACGTGCCTACAACGTACCTCGGTCGATATTTTTATCCTTCACCGCGACCGCGGTCCAGCCGGTCCAGGTGACCCGGCCACGGAACTCGCCGCCCCGGGTGTGTGCCCTTTGCGACGACCACGACGAAGGCGTAGAATCTTCTCTACACGGTGGCGGTGACCGAACGACGGATCCGCCTGCAGACGCCGCGCGCGCGTCTCTTTGTTCCGGCCGTGTGAAAAAACCCGCGTCGTCGACCCGCAGCGATCGTCCACGGGGGCGTTGCACCGGCCGCCGCGGAGAAGAACGCGCGCGAAATGGTAGTGGCGGAGGCGGCGGCGACGAGTGGCGACGACCGCTGCGGCCGGTGGAAGTGGCCCGGGTTCGGGCTGCATGGTGGAGGACGCGCCGAGTCTTTCGGCCGGTCCCCCGGCGATCGCCGCCGACCGCGTTACGCGCGCACCGTCGTCGTCCCGCCGCCAAATCCGCCGCGGCAGTGCTCTCTCAGTGTCGGTTCGTCGATCACACGCAATATACGACGCACACACCGCGGTCGTCGGCTGTTCAACCAATACCATTAACAATAATAATAATAATAATATTGATTATCAATCGTAATTATAATATCGCAACCGTCGTTTTACCCGTCGCCCGTGATTGTTACTATCGTTCTGTTTGAAATATATAATATTATCGTACGACTTGGCTGTACAATAGCGCGACTCGTATAGGCGAGACGACACCGCACGACGTCGTTTGTTTGTTTGACGGAAGAGCTTAATATTTAGCGACGCTCGTTCGGGGTGTGTCTACACTGTTGCTTTTCACTCCCGCGGTACATCCACGCGATATTTGCGAGACTGCTGTTATTAATTCTGTTTCTACTGCGTTGATCAGCCGACGAAAACCGCGACGTTTCGGTTCCACAGCCGCCGAGTCGTTCGCGTACACCACGCGGGTGTTGCACACTCGTCGTAATCTTCGCGAGTAATGCGCACTGCGAACTCGTGACCACTCGCGCGAAGTGCCCACACATTCATATGTACCTAGATTACGTCCGTGGAGAACGCAGCCCCGCACGACGATCCTGTTGACCGCCGAGGTCCATGCGACCCTCTTGCACGCGCCGCTCCGAACGTCCACTGTCCGCAGCACGACCAGGATCTCGTAAGTAACAATACGCTCGATCTAAGTGTAGGTGTAGAATACATAATCACAACCATCATTTGGCTGGCGAGACCGATGACATATAGGTATCTATAAATGTGGTTTTATCACGTGTATGTAATATTATACATGTAGGTATTATGTAATATAATAGATAGGTACCGAAGTCATACACCTACGTCCTACATGCATAATGATATTGTACATTATTATTATATCGGTAATGGGTAAATGGTCAAAAAAAAAACCGTACTATTGTAATACTGGAACCTCACTATAGGATTTTCAGGACTTTAAAATTACGATTACTCCTCTGCACTCTTCACCATTCTCTTGGCGTCTACGACATCCCTCACAATCTTTTCAAATGTCCATTTATTTTTTCCTAATTGAAAAGTTTTCTCGCTTCAGTGAATTCTCTAAATATCCCAGTTAACCCTCGGTCCATTCTTTCCTCTAATTCTCACTTAGTTATTTTGTCCACACTCAATCCACTCTGCATCAGTCTGAATTCAATATTTAAAATTTAACTGTTTTTGTAATAGTTTAATGCCTATGTATTAATTTGTTTAAAATATATTTAAAACTGTAATTGTCGAATCTAGTGGTTTTATAACGAGTTTACTTAGAAAAATACTCCTGTAGTTTACTGGTTTATATCCTTAAGCCTTAATACCTATATTATAAGTTTGGAACAAATATAATGGTGCCTCTAAATGTTTTTATGCCCGGTCCACCACCTTTGCCCCCACCTCCACCATAATTTTGGTACTGATTATGCGACTCGCCCCCGTAGACGAATATCTCAATTGCAGCGACAGATACCATTACAAATCAATCGATCGCTCATAAATCGGCACCTCCCTGCGAGCGCGTGTCTTAATAAATCACCCGTTAATCACAGTGTTATCGAGCCATGGCAATGGCATCCGCCTGACCATATTATAAATTATAATATTATAGTGACGTTATAGTGTGGACGATAATCAGAACACGCTGCAGTTACGCCACAAAAACTCTCTCCTACCATCACTGCAAATAATGGATCCGCGTGAAACTATTTTATTTTCTCCGAGAAAAAAACACCAGTTAATCATATTATATGTTTTATTCGTTGGTATATATTATTTCTTTTACAATATTATATTATAATTTATTATAATATGCACGGCGGTGGCGCATTCCATATTTTCCCCGCGAACGGTCGGTTCGGGATCCTGCAGCGAGTAGGTAGATATTGGTTTTTCGCTCGTGCAACTTATCGGTTCGGTCGGTCTGGTTTGCGTGAAATTAACCATCTACGAGTACAACAGCGGTGGACAGACATGCGTGAACACTCGAACAAGTCTAACTTATACATAAAATGTATACATAATGCACTTACTCATAATATACCTCTACACGTGACTAGGGAAATTCACCGAGTTGCCATAATATTTACACCCGAGATGAATGTCACAATCATAGACTTTAGAATTTCGTATCATAATACATAGACAACCATAGTCCTCTGCAGAGGTCATTCCCTCGGTTCACGGAACAGGTTATATATTAGCGTATCGTTACTTGAAAATATATAATAATATATATTATACCTAATAATAGATTACATTTTTTAATACAACGGTCTGAAGGTAAAATGATTGAAATTTGATTAGTGTTTAATTAATTAAATCCAAATTGGTTTAAAACGGGTTATTATTTTTAACCATCTGTTTAATCTGGACATTGTCCGAAATGTAAATTTCTTCTATAACACCATGTTAAAAGAAGGTCCCAACTATACAATTTATATTGTTCATGATAATATCTTGTATAATAATATGACCTAACAATATTCCATTAATCAACCTGTAGATACCTATACATGTGATGTGTATTAGAGAGATTAATTTTTTTATTACTTGTGATGTCCTTGCAGTATATTGGATAATAATAATTACCTAGGTACTCTGAAAAATAAAGGATTTGTTTAAAAAGTCATTACGCTTACTGTAGAAAAATTATAACACACTATATCATGTGTGTTAAATTATATTATTATATATTCAAAAATATACATAGACCTATCGTATTTTTAATAATAAACCGTTATGAAAATACTTAATGAATATTTCATGATTACTGGTCTGTATTTGATGACGCTTAAGTTTGATAATGAGGCTTATAATGTCAAAATGAACTATAGCAATTATTGTTATTTTTCCTCTGTCGTGTCATGGTTAGTATTAACTATTAACGTTAATTAGAATTCAATGCAACGCACTAGAGCCGTCTATCCGTTATAAATCAACTCATTAGATTTCATGACTGGTCGCCCTCAGAGTGTATTGAAGCGAGTTAACGGTGCCGTTATTATGAAGTCACCCGATGGCAACGGATACCGCCACCGTGTGGTATATATTGTGCAACAAGAATCAATTTCAATTTTTAAACACTGTAATCAAAATGATAGTGAAACTATATAATACACATAGGCATATCACTAGATAAAACGAACTTAATTTAATTTTAAATGGCATTGAACGAGTTACAAAAAAGTTTAACAGTTTATTGGTATTCAGCACCGTCTATACAAAGGATCAAGTCGGGTCAATGTGAACTATTAAAATGTGTCCTAAATTACTTTTACTAAATAAAACTCAAAAGTTTGTGAAATGATTTCTATAATTAGTAGCTTAGTTTACCTACCATTATAATTCTTAAATATTGTTGTGTATTTTAGACTCTAAGCAGACGTCTTTTATTTTGTAATCATGCATTTTTTCGGATTACGCTTTTTAGGGCCTCTAATTGAAAAGTTCAACAATTTGACACAATGCAGACAATATTCCAGTATAACCAGTATATAGGTTAGGTTAAGTTATGATTATATTACAAATATTGTAAACTCCGATTGAACAACAAATACAAAAATTAATTTTTAAATGTCTGTATTTATCGAAAAAATTATGAAAAACAGGAGTACTTCAACAATTTTTTAACTGTATTACTCTAAAATGGCTGTAAACTAATAAATATATTTATTTTATAAACATAAATATTAAACCATGTATTGTTTTATTTATATTAAATAGATGAAAACTTAAGATGAAAATTGTACAACTAATAAATAATTATTTATATTCCAAAATAGTCACATCATATTAAAAGTAAAAAAATATGCCTTTAAAATAATAGTGAATATATTACATAATCGATAGTGGTATCAAAAAGCCTTATCTTAAATGTATAAAAAATCAGCTAGTTAGCCATTACTATTACTTTTGACAAAGTATTATTTATATCATTGAATTGATTATATAGAAGATTGCAAAGACATGAATATATGATATTCATTTTGACTTAACTACTAGGTAATGGATACCTGTATGGAATTAAAAATGAAGTTTTCTTATGTAATATTTCATGTACAATGTTTAAAACAAAAATTAAAGATGTATAATAAATGATAGATTTAGGTACCTATACTCAGATCAAATGTTGAAACGTATTAACTTAAAGAAAATACTGCTCAATCATTATGGCTGTATGCCTGTATGACATTATGTAATTTTAAGTACCTACCTATATTAATATAACTATTTGGCGCTTTCAAAATGAATCATCTTTAAATAAAAGGTTATTTTACTGTCTACATTATTGTGTATATATGTATAATGATTTATAATATAGTGTACTATATCGTTGTTGTTTAATGCAAATGCATATCAAATCACATAATATCCATACGTTTTCTATAAAAATAATCCGATCAATTGACTGATATGAATATTTTTACCTGGCAATTGGCCACAGATTTCATATCAACAAATTAAAAAGGTTGAATATATCTGCGTTTACCGATTACTATGATTAGTATATAAACATTGAACACGCTATAAAACACTTAAATTTGTCACTTATAATTGTGCTTGCAGACGAGTTCTATAAACCAGCAAGTATTTGTAGTCGGAAGAAACCTACGCGTACCTATACACAATATGAATACAGTCAAATTTTTGAGAGGAACCCACGTAGTTTATAAGAACATAAGATTATATTACTGTTTTTATTGTACAACTACAAGAATTTCCATTGCATAAATATTACCTAATCACACTATGTAACATGGCTTTAGATGTAAATCAACTCAAGTTGCACTTTGATCTTATCTTGAAGACACGGACATTATTACAATATTTATAGAAAATAAAAATAAAATTCTTGGATGTTATTGATTATCGTAACGTTCTCCGTCGACTTAAAGAGTACTGTTTCTAGTGCAAATCGTATTCTAAAAAGTAATTCTTTGAAAAGACAACTACCATCAGAAAATTACAAAGACATAAACATTTTAATTAAACTCATAGTGTTTGTTTATTACACTTAAAAATACGTAACACTATTCTATGGTACTCCAGAAAAACTGCTGTTTCTTCATCATTTTTAACTGTTCTTTTTTGTTATTTAATGTTTACTGCTTCAAATCATCGAAGCAATGACTATAACAAAGTGGTTGAGGTTATAACCCCGTAGGGTTTAGTATGTCGTAAACTGTGTAAATTGGTGTCCAAATATTTAACTTAATGGCTTAAACTCAGGCACTGATATGTAAAATATAATTATGATTTTTTTTCGTGATTTATATCGAATTTTTTCAATTAAAATGAAAAATATTTCGATTTAACTATAGAAAAATTAATTTGATAAAAAAAAATTTTTAATCTTCACAAATAAATATTACCTCACATTACTTAAAATACTTTTTCAAAAAAATAGAATTTATTATAGTATACATTTTGTTGTAAATTTTGTTGTTTATAAAATTAAATTCATTAAAATTATTTTTAAAAAGGATGGCTTTTAATTTCTTTGTGGACATTTCTTTTAACATTTTTGGGTCATATATGCGTTTTTTAGGTCATCAACTTACGAGTCCTATTAATTATTACGTACTCGTATACTCAATTATAATAATCGTCATTCATTTTACAAATAATATTATATTATAATACATA